ACCAACTGCAACTTGGTAGTTAATAAGTTGTAAAAAATATCACTAGAAATGATTTTATTGCCACAAACTCGGGAGTAACTCTGTTATAAATCATAACAATAGCTGCAAACCGTGAAAATCTTTTATTTAAGATTTCTGTCGAACAATAGAAACTACTGTTCGTAAAAGCTTTGGAATCATTAAGTCAAACAAGAACTTCAATATGAAAGTTTGGATTCGTCCATAGATTCAATGACATCATGACGTCAATAGACTATGATAACCTGACCTGGATAACATATATAACGTTAATTAAGAAAATAAAACCGATATATCAAAATAATTATATATCTTAGCAACAGATACGCAACAGTTACTCCAGCATTCTTTATATTAGGAACAGTCGACAACATCATTCAGTTAAAAGCTATTGGTAATAATTTAAACAAAACTGTAACTGAATGACACAAACTTAACTTGTGAACTACTATTCTAAACTAATAAATTAGTTATTCCAATCTCCACTGCACCTGAAGGTCTACTATGTGATATTCCTATACTACTTATGATCACTCAGGGATAATACTGTTCTAAGAGTTTAGTATAATTTTATTAATAGAGTAGCTGAAACGCTATCTAATCACCGAACTGAGGAGCTGAGCATTCTTGCCTCTTTTATATCCTACCTCCAAACTTGTAGTGCACACATAGTAATTTAGCAACATGAAATTTACTTGATTAGCACATAACAAAATCTACTTAATTAACATGTATGGCACTTTGCTCTGTAACACGGAAATAATAGGCATTATAAATTATGTTAAACTACTGTATGATATAAGCTAAAACATCAACGTTTCAATCAGTCCAGTAAATGTTAGTATACCTCGATTTGCTATTGTAGCAGGTTCGCATACCACCATAGTCTAATTTCAATCACAAGTTAACCCACTAAAGTAATTTTGATATTTAACGATAATTGGATTTATTATTTCAAAGAGGCCAGTTTTCAGCGATGAATCAAAATCCCATTATTGTTAGTTATAAATGTTGACTAACTACAACAAATATCCTTAAGATAACTATCAACAAAATTATATATGGTTAGATTTGGGTCATGACGCTATTGTAGTTTAAATCATCTAATATAACAACAAGAGACCAATATATTCATAAGAAGTAATGCAAAGACACGTAACAAATTTTGGCCTTAGTATACCGTTATATCATTGAAGAAGAGGCGTAGGTTTGTTATAAATAAAATTCTACATTAATATATTTTATTAAAAAAAGAGCCGACAGGTTTCAATCACTAATTTAAAAATAATTTTTAATAATGTCTTTAATTACCTTCAAAGCAGTAGCTACATGCATTTCTAATAATTATTTCTATAGTAACAGCCTATATCTTATATAGCAAAGAGAATAATTAAGTAAGCAAAAATCGGTCTAATTTTATCCGTGGAAGCCTTGATTAAAATAGTTTCTTTCATGTGCGGCCTTTAACACACCTATTTCATAGCCCACTGTATATTTGGAAACATTGATAGCTAATTTTAAGTATTGCTGTGGTAAAGTAGTCAAGGTTAACAATATTTATATGCAAAGAAAAATGTTATCAATTTACATCCATTATATTAATATACAGAATTTATATTGAACGCATCCGGATGCAAACCGGTCATTTAGCAAATTGCTGCATCGTAATTTTGCAAAATACCAAGCATTTGGCAAAATGAACGATTTTGCATCCGGACGCGTTCAATATTCTAATATTTGTATTATATGCGGCGCTAAGATCAAAATTTCATACTATTTCTAGCTAAAAGTGTTATTAGCTACGGAAATAAGTGTATTGGTATCGATATCTAAGGCCTTATCGCATTTTGAATCTTGGTAATGTGAACCAATATTAGATGTATGTATGCACTTACATAATTAGTCAATCAAGCGTACCTCAAACTGAAATTTTTTCGCTAACCAAAATTAATTCAAATTCTTACAGTGCCTCATTATACCGTAACGTAAAACAATTTATAAAGCAACTGTAATGATAGCTCGTATAGAGGCTACAAATGCATTTTTGATGCTTTGATGTATTACTTTAATTAGTTCCTATCATTATCATACTTAATTGATGTTAAGCGCAGTTATTAAACTTTAAAGAACCTTTTCTTTATTAATTTTTCGCCAATGCATTCCATGATCAAATACTACGAAGATAGCAATGCTATTTATGATTTATACTTAGTAATTTAATTTATCAAAATGTAACGATTTAAAAGCATTCGCAGTTTGAATTTGATTTGAAATTCTCCGTATCAATTGGTATTTTAATTTAAATATCTGTCCACAGCTAGAATATTATACTTAGATAGCAAGCCTGAAGCTGTGATACTATAATATTTTACATATAAATAGTAGTGAATATTTATCAATAAACTTGTCAGTATCTAATCTGTAAATGCTAACTGAATAAATTTTGCTTTACAATCAGCATAAAAAATACTTTTTAAGTTCTTCATTTCATACTTCCGTTGAAAATATCTACTTTTTGCATTCATCTCATTTCTTAGATGAGAGTGGTATTAACTTGAATGTTGTGGGACTGGATCAAAACTTATTAAATGATATGTTGAATCAGACTATTTATTAATAATTGTTATTTGCAGTTAATATTAATTTAATAGCCAAAGGACGGTGTTTTCCAATTTTTACCGGGCGACACAAAATGTAATCTTTATATCAAACTATGATAATTTCGATCGTGATAGCCTCAAATCGCAGATTTAAAGCTAATTATAATCCAATCAGCCAACCGTAAAATAATAGTCTGAATGCTTTTGTATGGCATTACAATTAGAAGTAACAAAAACTAATAGGAAAATTTAATTTGAAGTCAGCAGGTGTATTATTATTTAGCTGCAATACTTACTAACTAAGAATCATGGTCAATAAAAGAACAAAGTTTATATCTGAACGCAGGAAAATCTTTCAGTAATAATTAAGATATAGCAGAAATAGACTGCAGAAAACGTCATGTAATCAAGAATAGCAAGTTTTTGATCATAAATCATCGTTCTAGTATATTAGTTGCTACCGTCTGCAGCAACCAATTTATTCACAATAGGTATGTCTGTAAAAGAATTCTCAGAAAAAATAAACTTTTCCACAATTGCAATTCAATAGCTTTATCCAATTATGTAATCAGTCAACATATTAAAAACCCAACTGTTACTGATATTCATCAATCAAACAATAAAGTTCGTTACAAATTTCCACAATTCAAGATGGTATACTTGTTGTAATGTAACTTAGTATTGTGATTGTAGACTGTTAGCCATGTTTAGTATAATGTACGGTAGATATTTATCCTAAGAGATATTTGGTAGTTATAACTATAGACTGTAGTGGTAGAGACTCTATGCTAGAGTACAGATGACTATATACAGTAAGGTGTTGAGTTACTAATAAGGCTATAGGTAAAAAAAGGAACTGTAAATCATATGTTAGGATATGGTTAATTCATTGTACTTTGGCTAGTGTGAATGATGTCTACGTAAGTACTGTAGTCGCATCCATACTGGATTAATGATGGTCCGCAGTAGAATAGTCTTACTAAGAATAATTTAACTATGTGTAAAATAAGGTAAAAGGTTGCCGTGCGGATTGTAGCTGCGAATGCTACGAAAAGTATAAAAGCATGTAACTTTAGATTATTCTGCTAGTTCGTTGTAGAAGTCTTTAGTAGTATTATTCGGCTAGAGTAGAGCAGTGAGTAGGTAATCCTTGTATAAGATTCAATAAAGCCCTTATTTTTCTTCTAAAATTTGGAATCTCGTGATTGGTATATATCACGCTCGTATACTTGAGATATCTGGGAACAGCAATCTCTAAATTTCATAACTCAAGACAATTGGTCTACTTTTTGTTTATAAAGACAATCACGAAAATAAATTTTACTGACCGTATCCGAAAATTTTAAACGTCAACAAAATTATGACATAAATGCTAGATCAACTTGTACTTATGCTAAGATTTATATTTACAGGTATATGATTGCTGCTTTATGGACATTGATCTGTATAAAAAACTGTAAATATCAAGCCGATACCAACGTTACTTATTCAGCAAATATTTTTATTTTAATAATTAAAGCTGGATAGTCGTTAATCTGCTCTACTTATAAATATCTTGGCTAATTAGAATGTTATAAATGAATAGATTGAGCATTATTAATGTTTCTTGCTTGAGTTAATTTATACCGACTGACCGTAAAATCAAAATATTCAGATAGTTTTCGAAAGATTAAATGGTACTTTTTCATCGTTATTTTAAAATAAAATGAAAGATCATAATTACTGTTATATAAACAAACTGCTGCTATGCGACATAATTTTTATTGCCAAACTGTTTTACTCACAAACAAAACTGGAATAGAATAAAGGCCAAAAATATTATATATTCCTGTTTGTGGCTAATATTAATTGCCTCATTCTTAGCAAGTAGAGCATTAAGTTGTATGGTTATTTGTTTATTCGAAACTAGACAGTAAAATGAATTTCTATTCTTTTTTTCTTACAAATCTAAAATTTAATTATTGAAAGCATAAGATACAGGTTACTACACCGGATATTTTATAGTTTAACTTTTAGAATGAAATCAAATTTTCATGTGACTAAGAATTAAATATTCCAAATAATACTATTCCTTTACATGAGGCTCTTAGTGTCTTATTATATTTCTAATACCTTTTGTCTATCTACCTTTGATATTTAAGTCAAGTCTGAAATTTAAATCATTCATTACTACCATCTCATTTCAGATGTGTCAGAAGTTGATGCACATAAAATTCATGTGTTCCAACACCAATAAAAATGAAATTCATTGTATACTTTGCCGTATTTAGCCTAATTAATTTCATCACCACTTGTCTATGTCTTCAAAATTTAACACTGTTGTGCATGATACCCTGGTATAGACGATTTGAACTGGGTACATCATGTGCTATAGCAGCAAATATGGCTGTCGAAGCTATTAACCAGAACACAACAGTTTTACCAGATTATCGTCTTGAATTGGAATTAGCCGATAGCCAGGTAAGCACTACTAAATATGCGTGCAATTTTTTTCAATATTTTACCATTAAAAAAATAAAATCGCGTTAGTAAAAAATTTTAGCGTACTAAATAATGCAAAGCTTAAAATTTTAAAGTAAAATAGAAAGTTAACATCTACCTCTAATACATGATTTACATTGACAGATTAAATAAAAACCAATAACCTATACTCATCATCAGACTTTCTTCATAGCGATAAAATAATCAAAATTTACAGCTACCTGCTACGCGGTTTTGATAGTAGCAATTTCAACTTATTTAAATACGTTTAGATGTCTCAGGGTGTAGCGGCTAAGGCATTTTTCGACTCAATTTCACGTTCACCGACAAAAATAGGAGTCATTGGTCCATTAATATCGACAGCCAATGCCTATGTTGCAAGTATATCCAAATTTTACAACTTAGTTCAGGTTGGTAGACCTTCCTAGAAACCAAATCTGCATCATTGAACATTTAATAGAAACCATTTTAAAGTTAATTAATCAACTATTTCAGTCAATACCTATAAGAAGTAATTAGTATTTTAGATACCATCGTAGAATTTATTGAATTATTTGTCATTAATTGTAATCGTGATTTTTTTATTATTCACAGGTGGGTTATGCTGCATCTGGTTTATCCTTAGACGATAAAAAAAATTATCCTTACTACTATAGAACATCAATAACGCAATATAGTTATTCATTAGCTCGCATTAAACTTCTCAAGCAATTCAAGTGGGAAAAAGTAGCAATTATTTATTCAACAGCCGGAACTTATTCTACAGTATGTATATAAATGAAACAGCTTGAGAAAATTTTGAGTTTGGGCAAATCTTAAAACAATAAAATGTAACCTTAGGATTATGGTTCAGATATTATATCATAAATCAGATACGATAGTTCATTTATCTTAAAACGATAGAATATAACACTAAAGTTAGGATTTAGATATCATGTAACATAGTAGATCGCATACGATACTTCATTTTTGTGAAATTTGAATAATTCAAGATTTCTATTATTTTAAGCTATTCATTCATTCTTTGCAATCTTCATAACTTACAAATACTTTCTCATTAAATCACCTCAGATAGTTTTCTGTTTTATGTATTGACTATTTCTAAAAATTTCACTTGAATGTCGGTTGAAAGTCAAAAAAAATTATAATGCTTTTGCGGTATTAAATTTTTCAGTATTACTTTAAATGAACAAAGAATTGCTGATTATACGTTCAGAAGAAAAATTGTTGTTGCTTGTTGTGGTTACTCTTGTAGTTACAATGTAATTTGCATTATGATGATATTCATTAATCATAACTATTGCGATTACAAAGAAACAGAAATTTATTAATTTTTTAAGAGCAAAATATTTCATACAGAGGTCGAATCATAAACAATAAATACTGAATAGTATATCTTAAATCTATGAATATTTTAAAAACATAATTATGTTTTACGATTAAAATTGATAATGACCGAAGGGAAACTGGAGCTAGTCAATTTACCTATTCTTCCTATTAATCAGTTAAATAATCATATATTATTTATTTTGGCCGATATAGTCAGCTGCTATGGTTCAACAAACTTTACTTAAAGCCAATATCAATGTGGCAGTTATGGAAAGTTTTGATGATCATCCAAGTGTTGCAATTAAGGCTATCAAGGTACGTTCTTAACGATATTAAATTTAAGAGTTTGCTAATTGCTAATAGTTGTCAAATTTATGTGCTTTAAGATCTCTAGTTTAGGTCCTATTAATAAATTTTACAGATGAAGTTATTGCCTTATCGTTAATATTTTCCGTTTGAAATATATTTAGGACAAAGATGTTCGAATTATTGTCGTTATAAGCCATTATAATCAACAATTTTCACTTTTTTGTGAGGTATAGTATTACTGTAATAGACTTTTTCTAGATGAAATATTCCATGTTTTTCTTAATACTTATGTCTGGTTAAGAATGAAAGACATATGTCTAATGAAATCGGAAAACAGACAGTAAATTTCAGTAGCATATATCGTAAGCAAAAATTGAAATTTTTGATAAATTATTAATGCATTAATAAATAGTATTAGCGGTAATGTATATTTTGGTTTATCTACTCTGTCGAGAGTAAGAGATAGATAGTACCAGAAGTGCATAAAAAGAGATTTTACTCCTACCAATATACAGTAGTTAATGCAATAATTATTACCTTTCATGGGCGATAAATCCATATATTACAGTATAAGTACAACACCTTCAAGACGACAAATTGTAACTAAAATTTTACATAATTTGTAAATTCAGTTAGGATAAAATTCCATGGTATTTAATTGACTAAAAACGATTCTTATGCTAGATCATTTTTTAGCCTTTTATAGGTATCATATTATAAATTTATGTTCCTTGATCTTAATGCAAGATTATTAATTAGATAGCAAAAGGGAAAGCATTCTAGATTTGTTTTATTACATACTACTTGAATATTTATTATATTAATAACATAACTCTTAATAACAAGCAATGATTAATTTTACTATTCTTTACATTAAGTAATACGTTATATTGCAGTACATTTACGACAGTTTAATTTTGTACCTGTACATATTCAGATCCATATTTCTATTATTAAAGCTACTGCTTCTATATATCTTATCGAATAATAAACTCAGGGGCATCAATGCCTTGATCATTAGGAACAGACAGAGAATTTAGTAACTAATGGTGATTTTAGTTGAATTGTCAACTTTCCTTACGTACTCTTTGTTATAATTGTTGCCCTTGATGTGCATTGTACAGTATATATGAACGTAACCGTATGCGAAGTCGGTCACGTTCATATATATGTAAATACGACTTGACGTCGAGGTACTTCGGTAAAGACTCGGGGATGAAGTAATACTTGAGTATTCTTAACAAGTTACGTTTATTAACATCTATCCAAATCAAATTAGAACTACGCTTAGCAATGTAAGAGGTTATATACAACTAATACTCTGCACAATCGATATCTCGAGAATTTCGCCACTTAGAGAGTCTCTTAACAGTAGAACCTTTTGAGAGCCTCTTTGCACGATGTGCACACTTAGAAGTATGTAGTCTTTCGGCAACTGGTTAGTTACAGATAAGTCAGATCACCTGACTATATACAGTTCTCCTATGATAACCAGTACCAATACAGTTGTCCTATCTTATGTTGCATAGTAGGATGATATCTGTACGTATTCGTAACAGTACTAAGTTAGAGTTTGAAACATATGCTGTAGATAATACAAAATTATAACGCTGTTATCAACTGCATTGCTTAAAAGATTAGCTAATTTATCGTAAAAACAACACTTCCAAGAAATTATCCTATATTGAAAATCAAACAATACCCCAATTATCATTGTTCTTACAATAGTTGTTGTATTCATTTTATACTTGACATTTCACTTTGCTCTCATTAACCAAAATACAATCGTTATCTCTTATATTGTGATTACATGTAACGGTAAAATTTGAATTAAAAATTATCTTATTTGAATAGTTATATAAGAATAAGTATAGCTGTAATTGGTTACAATTATACTATATTTGGCTATGCAATATAGGAAAAGAATGCTATAAAATTTAATGAATGATAATTTAATACATCATTGATACTTTTTTAATTTATAACTGAGAAATATTAGTATGTAAATGACAAAATATACATTTACGTGGTAATTCAATAGCTTAGCAGCCTAGCATATTCCTAGTCTATTATATACATATAGAATAAATAAAATAAAGTAACATTTACATCAGACTTAGATTTGCATAATTACTAAGGCGCGAATGTACTTTTACCTTAAATACAAAATAAATCCTCCTTAGGACCTGTGTAACTTTCTCTAAGAAGGCGTAGTTTCTTGCCACATCACATCCTGCACTTTAAACTAAACTCAATTGTAAATTACTGTTATTGCATATAAAACACATAAAAATACGAAACCTTCAATAGTCTTTCAAAGTTAAATAGACTTGTCTAAGTTATCAGATCGTAAATTGCAACTTATATATAGTTCATATAATCTGACTAAACAGAAGCTAAGATCTCATTTAACGAAAATGTTTAAAATGTATTGACTGTAAGTTTATTCATTATTGGCGTTTGAAAATTTGCGATAGAAGCGGTGATTGATCATTTGTGCGAAAATTCTACTACTGCTGAACTTAGATACATATAACCAATAATCAGCAAGGCTTTGACGATTTCTTCCTATTAGAATATTTGCAATCGACGTCATTGATTTTATTAAGTATTAGTTAATTGTAATATGACCAAAATACGTAGAGTAAATTTAATAAAAGCTTTATATTTGGCAGGCTTACAAACAAGGAACATATGGTGGTCAGTATGTCTGGTTAGTGGCCGGTTGGCATCCAGATAAGTGGTGGACACGAAAATGGCATTATTCTAATTGTACAGCTGATGAATTAGAGAAAGTCGTCGTTAATTCAACATTTTATACTAAAGCTCCGATATATTCAACCGCATCTCGTCAAACAATTTACGGAAAGGTTCCTGATTATAATTATCAATAATATACATGTACATGTATACTCTTAAGACTCGGCTCTAATTAGAATTTATGTAAATTCTTAGATATTATAAATACAAAATTGTTTATAAAAAGGCGCAAATTGCACTATTTTCAATGTCATTATCAATAATTTCACCTTTAATTATAGAGTTCTTAGACAAATACTGTTCTGACATGTCATTATTTAAATAGAATGGAACTCAATTCTATCGTGATTTCTTAAAGAAAATTAACTCCAATAACACCGTATGCACCGTGGCCGGACAACTCTACGATGCAGTCTGGTCGTTAGCCTTAGCTTTAAATTCCACGGAAGGACGATTAAAACAATTAAATTTATCTTTACAAAAATTTAATTATCAACACAATCAAATAAGAGAAATATTGATGGAAGAACTGAATAAGATCTCATTTTATGGCACAACAGTAAGCAATAAACATTTAGTTATAATCATAATTAAGTTGTAGAATGCAGTAGTTTTTTCGAATTAATTATCAAGTCATATTCATGTAACGACATAAGATAATGAAATATGTATACTAATAATGTGCATTTTGCTACAAATTAAATTTGAATTTTAGGGCCCAATTGAATTTCATAAAGGTAGCCGCATTGGAGACGTAGAAATATACCAGCAACAAGGTACCATAACTTTCGTTATTTATATATGTAACAAAACGGCTTTGCAACAAGATAATGTAATGTACGATCAATACGTCAATTTCTTGAACCACGTATCAAGGAACGATATCTGCACTATCACAAACACTGTTACTCTACTAGCAGACTACACAAAGACTTAAACGCCTCGTATTTCAAGTGAAACACTAAGTTTGAGAATCCCTTTTATTACACGATATACTGCATTTATATACTATTCCTCAATAATTCATGAGTCATAGTTAATACGATTAACTTTGCTATCATTCACTGAATTAGATGTTAATTATAGCTACTGCTCCCTTAATGCAGACAACAGTATTTACCAACATAGACATCTGGTGACTAATACAGAATAGTCAGATTACGATATGTCCTATCACGGAACATTTCCACGATAATTTAGCATAAGTAAGTTACAATCACAATGATTCGAACTATAAGTAGATGATTTGCATTCCCTATAACAACTATTAATTTCAGTATGTGTATATGTGTCACTGTCATAAAAGGCAGTGCTATATTAAAACACAGTATATCCAAATTAGAAGTTAACTAAATAAGGACAGGCTAACAGAATTATCCTAACATAGATATTTCTACTCTAATACATTATATAACATTGTCACAATATATTAGAGATATTTATGCGTCAATGTCCTATAACTCATTAATGCAAGAAAGAATCCTAATCTATAGGAAATATTGTGGATAAATTAATAACAATATTATAGATAAATTAATTGCAATTGATTATCAAAGGTAGACGTTTAATATGAAATCGTAATTCATAAATGTAACGTCATTAAGTTTATGAATTATCGGCTGAGTAGATAGTATAAGTTGGCCTGCCTCGCACTAATTAAAATTTAAAATGGATGAATCAAAGAAAAATAGGACTACAGAATTTCTATTGAAATTCAACTTTATTTACAGTCCTTTATCCTATCTATCTTATTAGGTTTCGTTTCGATAGTTAAGATGAGTAATATTATCTTAAGTTAATATGACATTTGATTTATTTTTAAGGTTTTGAACTGCTATGGAAGGGATATAAACAGTTTATGTGTTTCTCTTAATTATTCAATCGGTATCAAAATTAATACTTAAATATTCAAAGAAATGACTGATAGTATCTGTAGATTTTGAAAAACTGAAGCGTCTTGATTTTAGAATGGTTAGCGATATACTCATATATATATATAATTATCATTTAAGATCTTATAAATTACTCAAGTGATCTAGATAGTAGTGGAAGAATTATATTATCCTAAATCTGTCTTAAATTTACGATACATATTTGAGCGTTTTATAATGCTAATCAAAATCAAATTTAATAACTAATGAATTTGGTTTAAAATTTGTGAAAATACTGCAGTCGCTATCTGAATTTTAATTGGTTTCATATCAGTGCGAAACCTTTTTATACTTATAATTTAGACCATTCGAGTGTATCGCTTATTATACATTCATACGCATATACTGATTTTACACTTAATTACCGGCATCATGTAGAATTTCCTATAGATATGTTTTATTCAAATGCCCTAATGTACTTCTTTATTGTAGCTTGCACAAAATGCGAACGAAGAAAGTTAATAAGTCAGTCATTAAAGGTATAATTAAAATCCCAACTCACTGAGAATAATGAGATTTCTGAGAAAATGTTATTATAAGCAATAATTCTTCAATGACGAATAGATCAATCAACTTTCTAGTCCTTTTGTCTTATCTAGGTAACATCATCAGACTATGAGACAAATATTTATGTGATAGGCGGACTTTGTAACCAAGAATCGCTTTGATTTTCTACGTCATAGCAATCTAGTGATAGCGCAGCTCATGATATCATGATACAAAAGCATAATTGCTTAAGCTTTACACATACTGTAAATTGCTTATTCAAAATCTACACACTAGCACCAAATAGAGCTATAGATTTTTAGCCATAGAATGAGATGATTGCAGTCGAGTCGCAATAGATTGCCTTAATAGACTAAAATCGGAAATTTTCTGTTTTCTAAACCTGAAGCTATAGTCAATAGTTCATGCACTTCATTTCTTCCCAATAATTATATGCAATACTATTATATTTAAGAAAGTCCTACCTAGCTATAATTGTCCTCAATAGTAATACAAAATATATATTGTACATGTGCATTATGATCTACAAAATAATTTTAACTGCAAGGCTACTTTCAAGCCATAAACAAGCTTACAGTCTCCAATACGTTTAGAACAGTTATTTTATTTTAAAAACAAGTTTACACTTACAATCAAAATTATAAGATGTAATGTAACTTAGTATTGTGATTGTAGACTGTTAGCCATGTTTAGTATAATGTACGGTAGATATTTATCCTAAGAGATATTTGGTAGTTATAACTATAGACTGTAGTGGTAGAGACTCTATGCTAGAGTACAGATGACTATATACAGTAAGCTATTGAGTTACTAATAAGGCTATAGGTAAAAATAGAACCGTAAATCATATATTAGGATATGGTTAATTCATTGTACTTTGGCTGGTGTGAATGATGTCTACGTAAGCACTGTAGTCGTATCCATATTGGATTAATGATGGTCCGCAGTAGAATAGTCTTACTAAGAATTTAACTATGTGTAAAATAAGGTAAAAGTTTGCCATGCGGATTGTAGCTGCGAATGCTACGAAAAATATAAAAGCATGCAACTTTAGATTATTCTGTTAGTTCGTTGTAGAAGTCTTTAGTAGTAATATTCGGCTAGAATAGAGCTGTGAGTAGTTAATCTTTGTATAAGATTCAATAAAGCCCTTATTTTCTTCTAAAATTTGGAATTTTGTGAACGGTATATGTCACACAAGGATAGAGATCATAGTAAGAAAAAAATTTCGAACAGATCGTATTTCTAATACTCGTACGAAAATAACGTCTAAACTATTGATATTAAGAAATTCAGGTTTATCTTTTATATTGTTTCAAACTAATTTTAAAGCACAAACCAGTGATTAGAAGTTTTATTCGCGCATTAATGTATTATTTAAAAAAATTAAAAATCTGTAATAAACTATGTATTGATACTATCTTAAGCATTATTTAAATCTTACTAGTGTAAATGATATTATTATTCGCTGTTTAATAAGGAAATGGAGTTCCGCTAGTTTTTGTTTATCGACACGATGAGAAAAAGTTAGAATTTGAGAAGCCATTAATTTGGAAATGTAAGCGAAATGATAAAACATATGCCTCATAATATTATATCTTATAGTAATAATATGATTTACACAAGAATTTAGTTAACATCTGACGATATACACAAAATTTATTATATTTAGATGGCTATCCTCCACGCGATCATGTAGCTGTAAAAATCAACATTCTTACCATATCAAAATCCCTCTTTATCCCATTCAGTGTCTGTGCTTGCTTGGGAATATGTCTTGCTTTGGCTATTGCTGCTTTCGTCATCTACTTTAGGAACAATAAGTAATAAATTCACTATTATCATTTTATATCGATTTTTTTCATAATTACAAAAATAATGAATAAGAACAAGATTTCTGGCCAAATATAATAGCTTACCAAGAATAGATAATCCTAAAATTTAATTGCGAAAAAGAATTATAAAAAAAATTTAAAAATAAATTTATAAATATATAAATTTTCTTTAATCAAAAATTGCCATTTATAGATTCATTAAAATGTCAAGCCCAAATTTAAATTATTCCATATTAGCCGGATGCATACTATGCTATATTTCATCGATTTTTTTGGGCCTAGATAGCAATTTTGTTCCAAAGAGTGCACTTCGACATATGTGCACTATTCAAATTTGGTTGTTAAGCTTAGGATTTACCATTGCTTTTGGCTCAGTAACTGTAAAATCTTGGCGAATTTACAAAATCTTTTTTAATCCGACCAAAATCCGAATGGTAACTATCTAATTTGAATCTTATATCATTTCACTTATAGATAGTGACGCTTTTTAAAATATTCCTCTTTAAATTGTTATAGATTAGAAATTTTATTCGTCCTATTAATTTATTGAAAGTCTAAACTTGGTTACTATAATATAGATAATGTATTTTTTTATTCTTTGCTTTCATCATCTATAAAGGTTATAAGAGATATTCAACTTTTTGGACGTCTAATACAACTCTTGGCTGTCGATATTGTTATACTATCTCTATGGACAACGATAGATCCAATTACCATCATGGAAAATAATATTGGCTCACCTAAGGTAAATTTACTCTTACTATGTGGCAATAAGTAGACTAAACCTTAATGCAACTTGAAACGATCATTAATTCTCTAGAATAATTTTACTATGGGAATAGTATATACTGTATATACTCGCATATACTGTATTAATGTGCAAAAAGAGAAAATGACGAATTTCAATTTTGAGTTAGTACTAGGGGTTACCCAGCGTTAGCATAATTGCGATTTCATGAATTAGCTGCAAATTATATTCATCCCTACAGCTATTCATAATCAAGAAGCATTTAGAATTATATCTGTAGTTCTATAAGCTACTAAAAAATTTTGCAAAGGTCATATTTAACTTAAATATAATGTTCAATAAATGAGTTTTATTATTAATTTATTTGCGACTTCATCGAGCTTGATAAAATAATTTCATTATTATAACTAGAAAAGCACTAAAAAACTAATATTCATGAAGAATGTTAGGAAAGCCTATACGGATAATTTATTTACACTAGTTATGATATTGCCAATTTTCATTTATCTCTTTGCATTTTTACGTATCATTAAAGTGCAGTATTACCAACATTTTACGATGCCACACTATAGCTTAACTTGACATTATTGTTATCTGCTTACACATAGTCGATAGTTGATCAGTACTTAGGCGCTTAAACAGGTCAGTAAAGTTGCTTTATGGATATCTCAACTTAAAAGAGTCACTATTTCATCGCATATGTAAAATTAGAATAAAGGCAAAATAAATAGTATAGCGAAACTTTTCAGAATTGCTCGAAGTCTTTAAAGAAGTAAACCCATTTCTACGTATCAATATACGTATTAATGTAGGGCCGTAGCCAATTCAAGTGATAACTTTAAGATTATTAGAAACGATCTAACAATAAATAAGTACTTAAATTGAGAATCTATAATGATTCAAATTTACCAATAAAATATTGTAGTTGAAAACCTATGAAGAGAAATTGACAAACGTCAAAATCTAGTCTCACTCCGTCCTTCAATAAATTCGTTATGTATTTGGAATCTAATTAAATTTAAAAATATCCATTGTACTTCGATAGATTTATACGATCTTTCCAAATTACAAATTTCTAGGATTTATCATTACTAACAACTGCTTTTATTATAAAATTACTTCTAGAGAATTGTAACAGCTAACATTGAAACTATAGTAATGCATCGGATTCAAATTTGCTACTCCAAATATACAAGTGTTTGGCTCGCAGTGACTCTTAGCTATAAATTATTATTATTGCTTGTTGGTGTATTCTTAGCATGGAAGACTCGTAAAGTTTCTATCGACTCGTTAAATGATTCCCATTCGCTAGCTATGACAGTTTATAATATATTTGTCTTAAGTTGTACCGGGATCATAGTTGGTATCGCATCAAATTTAATCCTAGATGCTCAATTTGCAATGCAAGCTAGTTTTATTATCTTATGTACAACATCCTCAATGGGATTGCTCTTCATCCCTAAGGTAACTCTATATTATAGAACCTGCATTAAACATTGTATCGCAAGTAATGCAGTCCAATTATTATCATAAACACAGATTATCTTATAATAAATAATTTCACTATCTTATCCTATTTGAAAATGATTAGATATCACAAGTCAAGATTCATCCTATCCAAGTAACTTCTTCTTCCAAACTGGATAAGCAAGTTCGCGAATCTTTTCAAAAATCAACCCTTAGCCAAAAAAATCTGGAGCTAGAGCTTCGAAAATTGAAATTAATCATATCTGAGGTAATTTGATATAATGAGGTTTATGATGTTATAGCGTGGTAATGTTACGTAACAGTAATATGTTGTACGTAATTGTTTCATCCGCTATTATCATAGCGGAACCTTGGATTATGACTAATAAGTTATTAACTTCATCTAGCAACATCAAAGAATGCAACTGATGGAGAAATCTGACCAAAACTCGACACAAATCAAAGTGGCCGAAATATAAAAATGGTTAATTTTTGACGATTCTTTCACAACTAGAAAGAAATGGCATTGGTAACAGTTTCATGCATTCGCGATGATAAAATTAGCCAGCTTCAAATGCCACTCTCTGCAGTTTCTAACTTTATATCGACATAGATTACTCCTAGTTCACATTTAATTATCTTGATATTGAAATAACTTTATCATGATCCATTAAGATTAGCGTTCGGTAATAGTCCTAATTGTAATTATAATTCTAGTTATACGCATATTAGATAGTTAGAGTAACGTTAGCCAAGTCATTGTTAGCTCGCCTTTTAAAATCCTTCACAGTCTTAATTTCAACTAATTTTAAAACTGAAACAACCTAATGTATCAAATCAGCGAGACATAACATAAATTTTATTGGGAATGAGCTACTTTGAGCATTTATACATCACACCTGTAGATTTAAACTCACAGCTACAGCGATCGTTTACTATAACTTTATGTAAGAAAGAAGTACGATAATATCAGCAGGTGGTGAATAATTCTATATTCCCTCGTATTCAATCGTTGTAGAGTTTCTAGTATTTTTTTCTCCTGTTGCAATGTAATATAATGCAACTTGATATTTATACTTATAGTACAGTTTTATGAGTAGGTAATGCATCATAGATTAAGTGTTATATTGAGTATACTAGTGAGAGATCTACAATAAATAGCCAAAATGATTGCATAAGTGAAGAATTCTACTTTGTGTCATATCAATTTACTGCCTTTACAGTATATATTATAGACGTTACAACCAATGCCCATAAATTGCACATAAATGAGTGCAATTCTAACCTAAAGTGTAAGCGGATTCGCTGAGTCTCTTCTAATTTATGCACTCTACAAGCAAGCAGCTACGCCTCATAAACCAGGATGAATTATCGCCTAGAATCGCGGTACAAGCTATCATGAAGATATTGTTCAACTTGAGGCCAATTTAACATTCTTGTATGGAGATTACAATAGACTGTTAACAATAGAAATTGCTGCAGTTATAAGCTGCTATAGCAAATTGCCTATCTATACGCGTATAATATTATTATACTTACTCTACTCTCATTTACTATCAAAGACTCAACTCTGATCAGTAGTTGCATATCGTGTTCTTAATCTAGCCACTATAGTACCAGCTATACAAAATACGTGAATGTGATTTCTTATAGCAATACACTATTCAACGCATACAGCCAGCGATGACTTGACTGAAGCAGTAAACTCTGCCTCTTTAGGAGATGCGACCTGTAGATGCTCTGCATGTCCATACCGAAGAAACGAACTAGTCTATATAGCATGCTTTATGCTCTTATTAATCAATTTAGAACACCTTACTAAAATGATGGAGTAGTTCCTCAAAATAGAAGACTAAATTAATGCATTTTAACCTTTCTCATCCAATTTTGGCTAGTCCAATGTATCCAATACTAGTGGCATAAGCTGTGCAATTAGTCAAGGTCATGAGTAGTGCTTATGTTTTATGTACAAAAAGAAATATGGTATATAGTTACAAATTGAATGCAACAAGCTGCCAGTCATGCTGATGTCGCTAACGTATCTGTATTGACAGTACTATACCTTACCATGGACTATGGAACTACTAAGAACTTGTAAAAGAAGACTATTTTTAGTAATCCTATATGATTAAGTCGCATGCATGCAAAGTAGCTGACGAAATTCGAATGTCGTTCTCCTGTAGAAGGAAATCGGAGCATTCTGTGTAGCCTCATGTGAATCAGGACGGCACACTGCACAGTGAACCAGGCCAGTATAAGGTCTAAACATCTTCGTATAACGTTTCTGAATTTCATTTACATGCATCCTCACTTCGGCAATTACTATAGATTGAAATGGATTCAGATAATAATTTAACTGTATCTGTTTTACAACGGGCATTCCACATCTAGTTTTAAAATACTGTAAGTTAGTAAATTTAGATACAATTATACTCGGGATTGATTTGGCGACAATTGTTTCACTAACTGTGAAAGTAGTATTTCCTCCATGTACAAAACCGACTTAGCAGCATGCTATTGGGTCTAGAGATTTCAAAATTTTTCTATCTCTAGGCAACACGTTAGCAGCTAATTTACATGTGCATCGCGGACAGTATAGTGTCCCATTGCAGGCATGCAGTACAGGTGAAATGACTAGAAAAAGAATCGGTCGGAAAATTTTTACCTTGATATGGTCAATATACTACCGTACATTACGCCAGGTACAGTACTTTTCTACAGTGCTGTGCACTGTAGTCTACAGTACTGTATAATACCAACTGTACTGTAGTAAAATGACCAAGAACGACATCTGCGCATGCTACAGTTCCTGCAACAAGGCATTGAGAGACTAGAGGAGCAACCATCTTGTCTTACCTGGGAATTGCTTTCCTCTTGCCTATCGAATAATACTATTGAGCGAAAGTTTCGAAATTAGCCTTAGATCAATCATGTTGAGCCGTTGGGGTATATTAGATCGTCGATGGATATCAGCGATACGACAATTGGCCGGAAATGGGTGCTCTCTGAAGCCAGTACAAGCGCTATGGAGCGGATGGAGTAGACCTATTTATACGAGTCCACTGAGCTTGCAAGATCAACCGCTTCGGGGTCGAGGTCGAAGAACTGAAACGGATGAAAGCAGAAGAGCAAACACCAGCACGAATACTACAACAGGTAATTTAGCATGAAAGTTGGATGCTACTAGTAGGTAATGTGGATCAATATGAGCCATATAGCCATGCTGATCGGCTCATTTTATATCATAAAAATTTGCAATCATCTTTTTTCGAGCTTGCCAGTCGTGCAAATTTTTTTTACTTATTCAATTATGCTGATTCTGCCTTACTTTATATTTGCTGAGAATGAACGGTATTATGAAAGATAGATTTGGAATAGCAGAAATTGTCAAGGCCTCAGGATTGCCATCTTAATTGTAATGTCATCTTTTTTTCATTTTGATGATATGTCGTTGCAGAAAGTAAACCTGTATGGGCATCATACAGACGAAATCATAAAGGCATGATTCCACCTCAGGTAATGGCTATTGTTAGATCAAATCTTGATTGATCCTGACTACATTTCTGCATTATTGATACTGACGGTTATTCCAATCATTTTCTCTTTACATTCGCCTCATGTGGATCACTTTTAAATGACTCCGAATTCAGAAAACAAGACTTCGATGTGTCGTAAGTTGAGAATGATAGTTTCCAGAAATCATTCTAAATGAATCGTACTACATTATAGATAGAAATACAGTACAATACTACATAGATAGCAGCTTGTGTCCAACTGGCTCAAGATACTAGTGTAGACAACCACGTATGGTTAAATGGTATATTGTCTACCTCACTCATTCGCTTCAATTTTCTTTCTGTAGAGAAGAGGTAAGGTAGCATCCAATCCATGTCCGATATGCCGACAAAAATCTGGAACCTTGGATTACACAGTGAGTAATGCTACGGTAATTGGCATCATTAAACTATTTTAATGACGGAGGTGACAACCGTGCTTGCATGGCCTCCACAGTATTTGCTAGCGTTGTGTACCAATCTCATAAGCCTTGAAAATATGAGGCGATACGATCGTTTGATAATATTCTATTTTGCTGTTATTCCTGTCATAGAATGTAAACTTTCTGAAGCAATTCATTTCACCTTTTACTGGCAAGATATATGAACCATTCGTAACAGGTATTATCTATATTGAGGTTCATGTCTATTTTAGCTAATGGATATAGGTACTAGGATAGGTTGACAAATTCTACTCTTATTGCACATCTAATTCTAAAGAATAATCATTAAAAGTAGCCGTAACAATTTTTGCGATAATCAGGTGTATGCAGATTATCACATAAGAGATTGGTCAAATCAATAGAAAAGAGTCGAAATTTAGGTATAAATATTTAGTTTGAATGTTTTACATAGGATCATTCTCTATTTTTATGGGCTTAACGCAAGGTTTAGTATTAAATGTCTTCATGGTTTCTGACATAATTTAGGTTTACTACCTACTCCAATCCCATTGAATTTACCTATACCCGAACAACCTATGTCACGGAATGATTCGCTATGAAGATAACCTATATTTAATCTAATAGCTACTTCGCTTACGTTACTAAACTACGATATCCAAAATATTTAATCCATGATATATTTTGCGTGTAATGATTTAACCATTTGCTGATTGTAATGTATAAAGTTGTTAAGCAACATTGATTCTCTTTTATTATTACTGCGTAAAGGATTAAAGATTATGCTTAATACAGTGTTAACCGTGCTTTTAGATTTTTAAAGCTAGTAATTCTGTAGGTAGGCCTGAATCATTTAGATGTTTATCATCTATTTATTCACATCTAGCCATCGTCAGATTAGTAATTTCACATTCTCGCCAGTAGCGGACCGTTCGTATTTTACTACGATATGCACAGAGAGGTTTCTAAATCCTAGTGACTTTCTTATAGTACAGTACATTGTTTGCTCTGAAACAGCTGTAGCTGAAATAATAAAGTAATAATAATAACAGCAGAAGAGTCAGAAGTGCCGTAATCAGAAATACCAAATTAGAACTTTTTATGAACTTGTCTCTAATTACTATATTTAAGAAGTCGGATAAATCCTCAAATTAGTAAAATGGATAATGACCAGCAAGTGTATGAATTTCCTTCGGTTGCCTTGCATAATTAGTCAACGATATAGCTAATTGTTCATAAATTTATTCAAGGAAAATAATTATCCATAACTATAGCAATGTGCAGTACGTTACATTAGACCATTTTACATCGAATGGTTCAACTTCTGTTCAAATTGAGTTCTAAAAACGATAAGTTATTTAGGAATACGTAGAAACCAGGTCAAGGTATTAAAACAGTAATAAGCAATCATATAGACCAGTGTTACTTAAACAAGTATACTTATGAAGGTAGAGCATGTACTTAAAGCTTTAAGATATCTCAAACTAAATTCGAGCATTTAAATTTCTCATGAACAGGGCAGGGCCTATTCTAAGACAAGGGTTCATTTTCTTGTCAAGAACACGTACTTTTAATATGTTTATGAAGTTACAGCATGTACCTGATGCTTTATGATATCTTAAACTGAATCAGAACGTTTGAATTTCTCATAAACAAGGTTGGGCCTATTTTAAGACACATTTTCATTTTCTTATCAAAAACACGTACATTTTCAAATTATAATTCAATATAAGTTGAGCGGCTACAAAACTGGATTCTATTTTCAAGTTGATCACGATGCCGAAACAAATTACAGCATTATTTAACAAATATTTCCAAATCGTTTCCTGTTAAATTAATGTTGCGGTCATTTAATGAGCCTCTGCAGTGTTGTATATAATGTTCAAGTCAAAAATTTCATGGTGTATTTCTGGAATGTATTCATGGTAAGCCTTCAGTTATCATAAAATTAAGATATTTTTTCTGTCTAGTAATTGCTATAAAATTGTCTATGAACCTGTTACAAAATAGCTTTGCAACAAGATAACGTAATGCGCGATCAATCAGTCGATTCCCTGAACTACGTATCAGGGAGTAGTATCTACTATTTCAGGAACTTTTTCCTATACTAATAGACTACAAAAAGACTTGGATGTCTCGTATCTTACGTTAAACACTAATCTTAAGAACTAACTTTATTATACGATTTATCGCATTTATATACTCTTTTACATTAGCAAAGACATCCTGGTAAGTAATATTAACGTTGAAACCTGATAATGAATCAAAAGCTAATTATGTCTACTGCCACCTAATGAAGACAACAGTGTTTACGAACATAGACATCGAATGACTAATATAAAATTGTCAGATTACAATATTTCCTATCACGCAACATGTCTACGATAATCTACAATCTACCATAAGTAAATTACAATCACAGTTATTTGAATTGTAAGATTATTCTCGATTCCCCAATTAAACTACTAATTTCAGTAGGCTATATATATCACCATAAAAGCTAGTGCTATATTTAAATATCACATATCTAAATTAGTGACTCTTCATATAAGGGTGAATCAACAAAATCATCCTAACATACAGTAGATGTTTCTACTATAATCTCGATATAACAGTGTATAACACTGTAACAGAACCATAAACAATTTTATGGCAAATACTGGAAAGAGATGTATGATACCCTTAAAATTGAATCTAACATAAGTAAACTAGAATGAGAACTATGCCAATTCTGTGGTTATTTGCATGAAAATTTCGTTTTACGACGGCAAAAAGCAAGCAGAAATATTGTAATAACAGAAAAAGTCAAAGCAAGTCCATTATACAAACAAATGAAAAAAATTTATTTTTATATGTCATCACGTTATCAAATATGCTTGTAGCTCTCGACTGTTCTTCGTTATTTTTTTTTCTCAAACTACCATATTCGTATTCCGTTTTTATGACAGCCGTATTGGCATCAGTTTTATATGAGATCGTTAATTTCCACGTTGCAAGAATGCTTCATTTCCAATTCTTTAGCTGCATTTTGCTAAGTATATATGAACGTGACCGTATGCGAAATCGGTCACGTTCATATACATACACGCTCATACAAAAATAAATGAACACGGTAGCCATCGATGTAGTTTTCAAAAAAAATGAAAAAATATCCGTAATACCACTGGCAGAGATTAATAATTAAGGTAGTAATAGCAATTCCATCAAAACAGTTAGAGCTAATATGGTTTCATTAAAATATAAAAAAAAATTATTAAAATGTAGCCTATATGAAGCTCACTATAATCCTATATTTCGGCCCTATTAAAGTACGACAAAATAATTGTACTGTTAATAACTTGTAAATAGTAACATCCAGTTTATATGTCATTAACAATTGAAGTAACGATTAACTGTATACCTATTTTACAACTTTCAGCGTTATAGACTTGATAAAGCAAAGGGTATTCTTCTTTACGATATTATTAAAAACTTGCATTATCGTAATCTAATCAAAAAATTCTTATTTTCATAGCTAGAGGATCTAGCCCAGCCACGTTACGGGGGTTACTTTATCAAGAATTCAATATATACCTTACGCCATTTATTAATACTTGTTAAGAAACAGAATTAGTCATTGATGCTCATAAGGAGATGAAATGATTCATTGCCAAAAGTTCTTATATCAAATTACGGCTATAGAACGACTATGCTATTTAATGTATTTATGATATTAAATGTCTAGTAGATGGCAATGATATATCGAAGAATTTAATAGTGAGATTTTAATGATTTCATTTTTTACCATAATTTAATCAAAATTTGCTTCAGCATTTATAGAATATACCAATAACGTTAGCACAACTATGAAAAAATTAATGCAGGGTGATAGTTAAAATACTTGATGGACTGTTTATGATGCATGTTTATTTTCATTTCGATATAAAAGAATAGCTATTGATTAGTTTTAGATTTCCGTGCGTCGTAATGATTACATTTTCCTGTAATTTACATCTGCATAGACTGATTAAAGATTTACAAGTAGAGAATATCCTAAACAATGGCTTCCTGTTATCATTGAGAAAAGAAATAGCACTTATTTGACCGTAGTATTAGCTATACATTGGCTGTAATAATTTGACAGAATAAGCTTAACTATACATGATTTGACAGAGTAAGCTTAACTTTACAAGACGCTTTGTAGCTAGCAAAAAAGAAACGGATATAAAATAAAGGATAAGCCAGCTAGAATTGTCATTTAGTTCATAAAATAGATATAGTATGCAGAATAATATTTTCAAATAACTAATATACGAGACTAATATTGCGATCCATTCCAGGCGTCATAGAATTAATTTATTTATGTTAGGTATTGGATTGCAAAGTCATCATGACATGGATGACATGTAAATTTCTGAGTAATGTAGGGCAATTAAAAATTCTTTTCGCATCTGTGCTTGTGAGTTTCGTCGTATTAGTTTTGCTATGCATATTGTGATTTAGTTGTTATTTATGAAAATATCATGTTTACAAAAAAAGATAACAAGCTTCAGTATTGTATGTTGAAGACACTGTGTTTATTATCCTGACTCTAGTTTACTACTAGTTACTTCGCCTAAGTAAAGCGATAAGTGATTGTTATAATTCTACCATTAATGTAATAATCATTGATAATATCATGTTTGCATTTTGTGTTTATTATTTAAGGCAATACTTACGGACAACAATGTAGAAAAGTATAAAAATTATATCAAGCTGAAATTTTTAGTTTCAGTACAAGCTGCTACTGTTTAATTGATACTAAAGCCAGCACAAATAATCTTGAGTAGATACTCTTCATGAGTATTGCATTGATCAATATAAGACAGATGCCAAGCAAATATATTATTCTCTCATAAATATTGTAAATATGAAGATCAAATTGAATGCAATGCAATTTATTAGAGAAAAAAATATTCATATATTTTAGCACACTTTTTAACTCTTATCCTTGAGAGGTAATGGCTGGTCATAGTGTTGATGATAAAATGATATCTGTAAGAATGGCGGTATATAATGAATAAGTACACACCCAAAAATTTAATTGAATGAACAGTATTTAAGAGTAGAAGGAGCTAAACAATCTTGGAAGTATGCACGAGAATCGGTTACATCGATTGTGATAAACATAGCAAGCGGTAGCGGCGCAGAGGACTTTATTTTCAAATTCATTTTAGTAAGGGATGCACTTTATACCTACGGGTATATCCGACTAAAATATCATTTATATCACGCAGGTACCGTATTTTTATTAAAATAATGGTACTAACCATTAAGCACCGGGTAATGGCTCATTTCAAGTGTGAAAATAAGGTGTAAGGGAATGCATTTCGACAATCGATATAATCGATTTTAGTTGTCAATGACCTGAATATTGGTCTTCTTAACGTTGTTGTTATCACATCGATTTCATAGAACGATATCGAAAATAATTAATATTGATAGCTTTATGCGTAGTTTGTCCATTATTAATAATTCAATCGATAAAAATAAAACAATGATTAAGTTAATTATGTTCGATAAAAAATTTAATTAATTGGAGGATTTGTGTAGATAGTTTCCATTTAGAAAATGTTATCATTTT